TTCTGAAGGTTGGCAGTGTTGTCAAATTGACGGATAGTGATATGTGCATTTTATTATTCATCGATGTGCGTTTTATTGTGAATTCGAGTTAAGATTTTTTTTTGAGAACGGTTTAAAAATTCATGCTGTACCTATGTATTAAGTAAGCTAATGTCAATAAACTTTTTTGTACTGGTCAATATAGTGGTTAAATTTTATTTGATTTTACCACTCATATTGATGTCCGTTAAAGTCAATAAATCGTGTCCAATCTAATATTTCGGCTACAGCTCATTGTATTACGCAAATTAGATAGTAATTGAAAACAAAACCGCATCAAGCCTGGATTTAAACGAAGTCATTGATACTTTTGCGAAAACTAAAGCTAGGAAAAAATTGTAAATATAATTGTTATTTAGTCAGTTGGTAGGCCCGACCTTTATATAATAAACCCTTGAATCTTCTGTATTTCATTTTATTCGCCAAACCTACACCAAGTATTAATTGTAATTTATGTTGTTTCTGTTTAATATTTTTATTACCTGCCCTGCACAAAAAAGAGCTTAAGTAGCTTAGCATTTTTAAAGTATTTGTAAATTTCATATTTTGATCAGTTTACACAGCAGTGGGGCCCCATTTTTTAATTTGCCCCAGGGCCCTTGGTCACCTAGTTACGCCACTGACTGAAAGGTTTTTGGTTAAAACTGGAATAGGATTTATAAAAGCTAATTTATATCTATCTATGACATTTCAATTAGTAAATTCTAACTGGAGATTTAAAACTATTATTCTGATAAGATGTTTATTTATTATTGTAATGGAATTAATTTGCGTATATATCTTTACCTGTGTATAGGTAAAAAGAGTAGTTACCCTAGTACCTTGAGCCTGCAACTTTGATCCCTGTCGTAGGTTGTAATAATTACTCGCTCGTACGGTGAAGGAAAACATCGTTAGGAAACCATCATGGCTACTAAACGGGGCTGCTCTACATGCCTATTAGAAAAATAAGGATCTCGAAACAGAAAACGGTATCCGAGCCGATCAAGGTGCAGAGCCACTGTTTTTTATAGTTGATACCAGATGTAGAAAATAAATGTTTCGATTAACATTTATTGCACTTACAACAAATGATTAATGACACGTTATAAACCGCTTCAAGAGTCTTCTAGGCCAACAACTTTAGAGTAATTTTTAAAATACAGGAAGAGCAAAATATTAAAAACAATATTCGTATTTTGTTAACAGAAGACTTGCGCGAATATTTATTGAACAAAGTTATAAAGTTGACATTGTTTAAATTTTTTCAATTTTAGGTCTTGGCCTCAGATCTGTTTCGTGACTTGTCAATCTAATATGCAAGTAGGTGATCAGCCTCCTGTGCCTGATACACGCCGTCGACTTTTTGGGTCTAAGGCAAGCCGGTTTCTCAATATGCTCCTTCAGCGTTCGAGCGAATGTTTAATGCGCACATAGAAAGTCCATTGGTGCACAGCCGGGAATCGAACTTACGATCTCAAGGATGAGAGTCACACGCTGAAGCCACTAGGCTACTGCTTACATTTTTTGATATGGTAACTAACATGGAATAAAAATATGTATGGTGTTATGGAATTAAAATTGGTTAATTTCAATATATGGTTATTTTATTTCAAATATCCCTTAGCAGCCTTACTACAATAGCATAATCATTACACCATTCATTTCCACTTCATCCACTATGTTTCCACTAAACTTCATTTACACTCATTCAAATTAAATATTCTATTAATATACAATACATATATTATTTAGTTCGCCCATTCACAAAACACCTTACAGAGCCTTAAGCCGGAAAGATCGACAACTGACTTATAACATAGTAATGCTTTGAAACGAACCGACTTTGGTATTAACAATTTTGTATATAGGGTTTTTGACGACGAGTCGATAAACGCGTCGTTACTGACGTTGTTATGTTTTTAACTGTTTAATTTTTTAATTGCCAATTATCATGTAAGTGATACAAATGTTGTAGATGTATTGTATATATACACAATAGTAGTATGATGAATGTATACATTTTTTTTCGTATTTACCTACAACAGTCAAAAAGAAAAGAATTCATCCGTACTTCAATAATTAAAAATTTGATTATAAACGAAAGGTTGCTATGATACTCTTTAAAAATATTTATTTCTGTGATTAATTCAGGTTTAAAAGTTACACTTATTGTTTAGTCCCGTCCCATCCCTATTCGCTTAGCTCCTGCTCTGTCTTCCTTTAAATCTCTACTGTACAAACATTACCTGTCCACATCGTAACCCTTAGTAACTAACGTTATGTAGTAACTCATGTGAAACTGATCTAAAATTATCGTGATTTCTGTTTTACATTTTTTTAATATTGTCCTCATCACTGTTAAGTGTTTCTTTACATTTTAATTGCTTTGTTTTGTTCCATTAGATTTATCTAAATAACTATATGTCTTATGTATTTTTGCAGTTATCGATTATCTTATATATTTTTTTATCTCACAGTGGTTGCCTGGAAGAGATCGTTGGAAAGCGATAAGTACAGCCCTCCTTTTCATTTAATTATGTCAATTGCGACGAAGTGGTTATAAATAAGTTTGATTTCTGATAAAGACAATTTATCTCATATTTATTAATAAAAAAATACTTTATAGATTTATATTTGGAGTTTGATTATAACGCTCGTGTATAACTAGCCTTAGTTATAACCGGCAGACAGTAAGGCACCGAGATTAACATTGATCGAGCATTTCATTAACCAGTCTGACATTGTTAGCATTTTTAGAGGATTCATTGTTATTTGAAAACGCTTTAAGTGGGATTATCTCGGTGAAAAGCTACCGATGGTCATTGTATCTTAGTATGAATGAAATTTCTATGTATTTACTAAATAAAATACTTATTTTTTGTTGTGTCGTAAGGTTTCATTCAAGTTTCAAACGATATTTGTTGTATAAAATAACCCGTAGTGTAAGATATTATATGATAGTCGAAGACAGAAGTAATTTAATATAATACATTTAGTACTTTTATATTTATTTAAGAGTACTCATATAACTTCATACATATTTGAGCCAAAGAAATGTTTCTCAACACAGACTCATAAATTGTTAGTTGTTGTTGGTAGTTGATAGAGATTGTTATAGCTACAATTTATGAAAATTTGTTCAGGCTTTCCAAGTCTTTTAATAGGCTGGGTAGAAATCTAACACGCGAAATTGGTACTTAATATATACATGTTTGGAACACCTTCGCTTATACCACTGAGCTACTCTGATGAATGAACTCGAAGGTTGTCCCCACCTGACATTTTAAATTTTATACTACGGTAGCTAAAAAAATTTTAACCAACCAATATATATAACATAAATCGAAGTGTTATTTTTAATAGCTATATATTTTATCGACAATTTAATACGAAATCGAAATATTTTATTGTGATGTGAAGCGTAAAACAGGAATTATTTCTCTAACACAAAGCCTATTTCACACATGAGATGATGTCAACGAGTATCAAAGCTGGGATTATCTGACGCTACCAATTCACTCCATGAGACTGAACATTTATAGTAATTAAAACAACCAATTTCATCAAAAAGGGTTTCGAGTTTAGATTTAAAATCAATTTTGTTCAAAGCTCATTTTGTCAAGAAAAAAAATTAAAAGACCGGCAACGCACTTGCGAGCCTCCTGGCAGTGAGTGTGCCGTGCCTCCTGTCCGTTCGCCACATAAAAAAATCCTTAAAGTCTGTCAAATTGGTTATGCTAAAATTATTTAAGTTTATGTATGACGACGCATAATGACGCAGTAATTAATAATATGTATATATTATAATACATATTATTATACTGAACGAAAAGTATCTCAATGTAACTTTAAGTTTAGGAGAATATTGTGAACACACAACCACTTACGAAATAGATCCGCCATTATTACTTTAATTCAAAGACATACATAGGTACATCTTAAAATAACACCCGAGAATGGCAAGGGTACTTTTTTAACCTGGGATGTACAAATATAAGATAGATTAAATATAATGTATGAGATATAAAAATGATTTCTTTTCTCGGTTTGTTGTAACTAATGTTCGTTTCGTTTTTTTTGTACTTCTTATATTTATTTTTAACTGTTTAGTTTATAAGGAATTTAAAGTTGTAGTGGGTTTAAAGTTGTTTTTTAATGTTTTCCATACTTTTAGTTTATTAAAGTCAAAATTCAAAATCATTTATTCATATAGGTAACACAATGTACACTTATGAACGTCAAAAATATATATGAAACGCTTCTAATTTTACATTTACTGCCAATTCTCAAATCAAGGGCGTAGATCGGAAGAGAAGAACTGGCAAGAAAGTCTCCGCCATTTTTTTTAGACATAGACATATCATTTATTACAAACAAAAACACACACACATAAACACACAAAATAACAATAATCAATAATTAAATAAAAGATATAATGAGAGATATATAAAAATATATATATTTTTCCTTTTCCCATTCGGTTCGTCTCAAGTATGTAATGCGTGTGTGCTGTGGCTGTAATTGGCCCTGGCTCAGCATTGCTGAGCTGTGGAACATTCTGCTGAGGAGCAGAATGTTCCACAGCGCTGGTCATTCTGCCAGAGACCACAGCAGCTAGATTGCGCCTCAGTCGCAAAAAAAAAAGAATATATTAACACTTAGTAGAAAATAATAATAATATTTGTAAAAGTTAGCAGTATAAGTAATGAAGTCTTGTGTAATGTGGTGTGAAGTAAATAAAATAAAATTAAAAGTTAAATATAAGAATAATTGTTAAGATTTTTTTTTTTTTTTTGGGTGTAAAAACTAAATTTCGTGGGACTTTTGTTGAGTAAGTAGATGTGTCTTATAACTGCGACTAAAATTTGACTTTAATTTTAAGCAATAATAAATAATAATATAAAAAAGGCATTAATCTAAACCCACTTTCAGAAATAAAACAAAAATATATTATGCTTTCAATTAATTTATTTAATACATCAATCCACAATAGGCAGTACTGGAGCTACTAACATCGAATTGAGGCAGTTGTTGCCTCTCTGGATTCGGATAAAGCCGTCTTCACCCCAATAACGACCCCAAGAATTTTTCAAGATCCAGTACGGAATACCATTTTCTAGAAAGTTTCAATATATTAGCCTTGACTTGTTTAAGCTATCAGGGAATATGGTTTAAATGAGTATTAAGAATATCCATAGCGTTGAATAACCTGCATCATGAGCACACCCCACATACACGCCTTCACGTACATACCCTCACTTTTACACCATCACACAACATAGCCAAATTAGTTTAATTTATTGAATAATTTTTATTGTTTTTTTTTCTTTGTAAATGTTTGAACCTTTATGTCGGTAAATATTATGGATTCCATCTCAGGCCATATTTTTAGTGATTACGAAATAAATAAATATTATATTTATGATTAAAACAGCCGTATTTTGAGCTTAAATTAAATCATACATACAAGCTGGTTTTCCACTAGTACCTAGAGCATTATAAAAACTTTTAAAGCCTTCCAAACCGTTACCTTATTGGTTTTTTCTGGTTTTTATTCGCCCTATTCGATACTTAGAGAGATATACTGGTAATATACAAAAAAGTTGATAAAAACCTGATCCATATCCAACAAGAAGAACAGCGTGGTTAACAGTATTACTCTTACAGTCTTTGAGGATTCCGCCTCTATGGTGCTTGAGTGGAATAGCATCGACTGCTGTTGAAAGACACAGGTTTATATTAATAATAATAATCCAGTGGCGCTACCACCCAATATTTTTTTTTTGAAAGGAATCTCGCTGTTGGCCTTAAGGGCTTAGGTTGGGCCGTTTTGACGAGCGTAGCTCGGCCTTAATGCGCGACCACCCAATATGGATCTTGGAATAATTTTTATTTCATGAACATAGTAGGCTATAAGCCTGACATGTCGTAGATTTTTCCATATGAGATATGCCGTTTTCCTCACGTTTTTCTTCACCGTACGACCAATAAATAACATAGACAGACCGTCGCGTTGGTGCACAGCCGGGGATCGCGCCAGCGGATGATGAAGTCGCAAGGCAATAGGCCAACACAGCTCTTGCTTATATTTTTACCTTCACGATTAGTTAATGAAAAAAAGTGCTGTAAAGTTTTTCTTTCCAGTTCTTCCATCATTCTATAACCTTGATTAGGCAGTAGGCAGTAAATTCTAATTAAGAATTATTTTATCTTATTTTATTTCAGACAAATTTATTTATATCTACAAATATTCTTTATACGTAATTTTTTGGGAGTTTGAGATAACATTTCATTAGCATCTTCTTACCTTAAATCAATTTTATATTTTTTGTTTATTAGATTCAAAACTACCACTTATAGAATATTCTATTGTAACTGATATTCGAACGACTATAAGTTTTTTATAGAACTAAGAAATGGTAATACATATATAATTAAATTAATTTAACAAAGATTTTCGTAATTATATCTACTATTAAATAAAAATGATTACCAATCATTGTAGGGCCGTTTTGGTGTAATAAGTTCTTTAATTTTTCCTCATCTTTATCAACTTTCAAATTTGTGCATCCCTTTACTGTAACCTTCACTTTCTCCTTCTCAAATCGACATTTATTGTCTTTCGATTCATATGGGTAGTCTTTTTCTGCCATTGCTCCATTTTCCATAAAATATCTTAAAAATAAAATTAATATATATTTATACTATAATAAATAATCATTAATTTGTAATATTTAAAACACACTATTTCCTAACCATCTACAAATATTTGTAGCTATACAGTCTAAACAAACTCGGGCCTAAATGTCATTTTTTTATAGAACAGAAGGCAAACGGGTTGGAGGTTCACCCGATGTTAAGTGATATCGCTGCCCATGGACATTGTCAGAAGGCCCGCAAGTGCTTTAAAACATTGGTACGCTCGATAAGTCAAAATGTTTCGGAAATACTTGTCTTATAAACGTTAAGCTGTGAAGCGACGGACGTCGAGGTGATAGAACTTCGTCAACGGCGATATCCGATTATAAAACTAACAACACCTAACCGAAGCTCTACATGGTACGCAGTGGAAGATGCAGAGAGACCCATCTATGCCAGACCTAGGGATCAAGCTATTCATAAAGTCACTGGCTGTCGACCCTTCGAATGGCTCTTCGGCAAATACGAAGTGAATAAGAATAAGTGCAAGGAGCTACTGGGTAGCCCCCGCAGAGAGGTGAGAACAGTACTCCTTGTGGAGCTGAACTTGCCCTTTATAGAGCAAGTGACGTACCGTCTCGCCTTGGTGAGCATACCAAGATTCTTCAGGGTTAAAATTAGTAAGTATTCATTTATATACCGTATGACACTAAGGCACTAAGAATCCTTATATACTTTTTGGTTTTACTTATAATATTAGTTTAAATTAACTGAAGCCAAACTTACAATAATGGATTTTCTAAAGAATTTGTTCCATCACATCCCGAGGATCTCTGGTCGCAATCGATCAGCTGCTGTTCGGACACCTCTTGGATTGTCTTGTGTTTTATTGCGTATTGACTCTCGACAGCACCTTTAATATTTAAGTTAATGACGTACGTCGGTAAACGAAGAAGTTTCGCTTTCTGGGTATTTAATACGTTAAATGTAATCAATCGATACGTAGCCAGAAAACAACAGAAGTTGAAATAGTAGTAAATTAGGACTTAACTGGCTCTTTTATTAGTAAAGTATATATGCGAGATAATACGAATTATGTTCCGGGCGTTAGTATTTTTCAATAGCTTAGATTTTGTATTAGTTATATATAAAATATTAATTAAAAATAAATATTGCAATTTTACCAATAAAGCATTGTACCATTGATAACATTTATAATTTTTATTATAATAAACCAAGTCTTCTACTGTAATGATATTTCTTTTTCTACTTTACCTGTAGCTGCAAAAGCCCAGCAGGAACCACATGTTTTCTGATCCTTGACTGGGCTGACTACCTTCTCCGTCCTCCAGTCGAACGAATCAGGTGCTATTATTGAAGAGTTGACTTCGCTAATTGAAGCAGAGCATTTTGGTACACCCACACCATTCAGCCCCGTAGCATACTTGAGGAACTCTTCATTGGTCAAATCAGAAAACTGTGTTATACCTGAAAATACATTTAATATAAGTATCGTGCGGTCTAGCAAAAAAAAATTAATTCTTTATTAAGTGATACAATTTGTCTCTGTCGAATTGTGTTTGTCTTTGATCAACCTGACATTGACATTTGACAGTGTTTGAATTTAGATTATCAATATTAACTATCAAGATTCTCAGTTATTTTAAATGCGTTATGTATTATTATATACGTGAACCATTAATGAAATGGATTGAGTAGAACACACAGTTAAAAAGGTAGTTATAAAAGCAATAATCAAGAGTTTAATATGCATCACCAGAATATTTTATTTGACCTTCATATAAACAACCAATTGAATAAGAAATGCACCAAACTAAACAGCTAGAAAATATATTATTGTAGATTTTGATGTATAAAAATATAAAGACCATACCATAAACAGCGTGTGTACTCTCTGCATTCTTCCGATTAATTTCCTTAAGGTTTTCAGAGAAAATCAGGAATCGTGTAAACTTTTCCCTTTCATTTACGTACTGCTTATTATGAGCGATAATAAACTCGTTAAAATAACTCTCGGCCTCTGCGAGGTCATAATAGTTACTCTCAACGAGTAAGAAATTAACAAACAGTAAACAAATAACGAACATTATTAACAACAAAAATCGTTTCCTTGCTTTTATATATTTGATTCGCAAACATTCCTAATAAATATGTATTTGTGGTATTCTGGGAATTTATGCATTTATCGTAAATAGAATAACTTTGATGTCATAAATTTCATTGCACATGGTTGAGGTGTTTGGTTAAAATGTTTAACAATCTCGTGTTTTATTACTTGTTGCTAACGACCACTTATAATTTCATTCTTATTTATTTACACTTCGTTACCTTATACAAAAACATACATATTAACACGTTCACTGCGGCAAGTAAAATCATAATTTTTCATCAGGTGCGGCGGCGGGCCAATATGCGCCCCCAATGATATTTCCGCCGGAGCGTGGCAGGTCTTTCTAGACCCAACAGCACTAGGATAGATTAAATTGCTATAACTTTGTGGAAACATTATGTATACATTTTTTTTTATATTGTTAGAATGACCTTGAACCCAACTTCCTTAGGTTTGATTCGCCCCGGGATCTGGCAAACAGTAAATGAGAAATAAAGCAGGAAAAGCGGCAGGCCGATATCGACCTGAACCGCACTAGAATATATGTTTAGTAGTGATGGGACAGAGAAATATCGAAAATAAAACAGAATTATCGTAAAGGAACTGAAAAATGTATTTATTTACTTATGTAAGACAGGCATGTCTTGGAAACAGAAATCCTTTTTATTTTTCTTAGTGGAAAATATTTCTTCACTGCTGTCACTATCACTATCAATAACTGCAAGGCGAATTACTCTATTTTCCAAAATTTGTATTTTTCTTGTATTGCTTGCCATCGTTTATTATAACGAACGCTATGTTAGATCAGTTAGATAGCACAACACTAACTGGCCGGGCGCGCGCTCTGTGCGGTACCGGGTCGCCAGCTGCCTGTTGGGAGGGCGGGCTGAAATAGGCCCACTGCCGCACTCAGCGGATGCACAGCAGCGTCAGTGCGTGGTAGGTCGATAAAAGCCTGCCGTTATGTTTTGATGGGGAAAACCTACAATTTTGACCGCAAGATGAAATATATATTTGTCCCTGTCGAATTTTTACAAACACCTGAGATAATCGTTACGCACCAGCGAGAGGGACATAGATTTCTTCGTCCGCACCAGCTGAAATACCGCGGCAGGCTAATATCGGCCTGATACGCAGTGAACGTGTTAAAAAAAGCAGGTTACATAAGTTATTAGGCAATGGGCGGCCTTATAACAAGCGATTTCTTCCAGGCAACCCTAGTATGGAACAATAAAAAAAAGAAACACCTACAGAGGGTAAAGTACAAGAAGTGCATAGATAATTAAAAAAAAAACTCAAAATAACATGTAACTATAACTAAATTAAAATAAAGTAAAATCTAAAAAAAAAATAATAATAATATGTATAAACAAAAATGTAAAAGCTAATCCAAAGGTTATCCATTCTTCTTCTTCAGTCGCGTAGGCTCTTCATTTCGTGTTAGTAGCTCCCCACAACGTCCTTCACTCTCCCCTATTTTCGGCAAGCCTCTGCGCGTGGCTGATGGTAAGGCCTGTACTGGATTGGTCTAACGAGTAGGGGATTGGCCTCGAGGTCTGGAGCCCTCCACTCTGCCAGTCGCGCTAAGTTTTTCTAAACTGTCTGGATCCCTATGTCCAAAATAACTAATGATGCTTTGGTAACATCGTGTCGATAATTGTATTCATTCATGTCAAATTATTGTGATTTTGTGTCTTTTATCGGCATTCTTTAGGACTTCTGTTAATCTTCTATGAGTCCCAATACTCAAACCCAGAACTTGATCTATAATAGTTTAATGATCGTAGGGATATAATTTCGGCTTTCTTGTAAAATAACCAGATCTTTTTAGATTATATTGTGTCAATACGTAGGTTTATTAAAAAGAATTCCACGTTCTCATTTCTAAAAGATTACACAAGATTTGTTGCTAATTTAAATCCAACTTAAAACGAATTCTAAGTTTAATTTCACATGAAAATACCTATTCATCGAGTCGCCATTATATCGAGAATTGTCCAAAGAATGTCTTTGTGAATTTCATTTGATATTTCCATTAAATTTCAATTCCCGAACTCATCACAACCACAATGAAGCCTCTGACAATAGCAACTCTCTATACCGTTACTTCTATATTTTATAATTGTCTCATTTTAATATTCTGTTTTAGCTTTTATTGATATCTACCGCCACTGTTGTTCGAAAAATGAATTCAGTTTGGTATTTTGAGATACTTCACCCACATTTACTAAAATGTAATTTAATTAGATTTTTATATAAATTTAAGGCTTTATACTCTGCTCTGAAGTGAAGTGCTTAGTGGCTAATATAAGTGTAAGTAAGATATTGATATTTTTTGTTAAAATATTTGCTATATTGAAAAGCATAACTAGGACATTCGTTTTTATATATCTCTAGAAAATTCTCGTGTCACAATGTTCGTTCCCATATTCCTCTGAAACGGCTCGACCGATTGTTATAAAATTTTTTAAGCATGTTCAGTAAGTCTGAAGATCGACTACTGTCTATCTTTCTAACTCCTAAGTGATAAGGAGAGTCCACCCCAAAAGTATTTTTTTATTTTTTAGACAATTTTCTTTGTTTTTATTTTTTATGATACAGCATACAAAAATAATGACTGAATGAATGTCAATTTACCGGGCGTGAATAAAATTATTGTTTATCTGTACGGTTCACTGGAGTTATACTTTGTATCTAAATATAATCTATACCAAAGCTTAATAATTTGCCCAAAACCTTCAAAGTTTGAATTCGACCAAACATACTTTCGGCTTTTCGAAATTAGAACCTTTTTTCCATTTGTTACCAAACCATGAATGGGGAGTATTCATATTGTCCGGCACTAGACAAGATGGAACCATTCATTCAAGGTATTATTTATGCTCGCGTGTTCAATATTAAAATAGGGACAAGCATTGTTGAAAGATAGAGTTTGTGGTAATTTATATCTGGTATACAAAGGATGATGAAAAAACTGTCAAAGGCAAAGGTGTTCGAAGAAGTATCGGGGGCTTACGTTTGTGTCGTAACGTAGAGGTTTATCTAACATATCAATTATTTTATTTATTACGGAAAACTTAGATTTAATAGGCTAATTAATTATTAATGTGTGTTAACTAGATCGCTGCATATGGTTGCGTAGATGTAGCGATGTTTTGATGAGAACAAAGTTCGACATAGCTAGTATGTACCTATGTTACCTATTAAACTTTACTCAGTCGCTTTGTTGGTTGTCCAAATGTATTAGAATCAAATATTCATAAAGTCCTGAGTTTTATTCCTGGTTTAATGATTATTTTGTTGTTACAATAGTCACCTACCGATATCAGAAATAAGAATGTGAATTTGAAACCTTCATCAAAGAGCGTACCAATTCTTAAAAGGCCGGCACCGCACTTGCAAGCCCTTTGGCAATGCGTGTCTATCGCTTAACATTAGGGGAGCATTCAAAGCCTGCCAGAGATTACGTAATACAGCTGATAACGAAATCAATTATTGTTGAATATTTTATTATTATTATAAAATTAATTTATTAAAATAAGTGTTAGATAAGTTTCGTTAAAAAACGTTTTCCTGTGTTAAAGATATGCTATTCAGTCATTACATTTGAATTAAAAACAATTATTTTTACCTTTATTAAAATTATTCATAACACGAAAATATTAGGCTCGATTTATAAGCTCAAAAGAATGTTATAAAGAACATTAATATTCATGTTGCAATTAAAATCTTACTTAAAAGGTGGTATAGTTATCGTGTGTTTTTATCGCCCCCTGTATATGCGTTGGTGCGTGACGAACTAAAATTAGTTTATACCTATCCCCTTTTACCACGGTAGGGATAGACAAGGATAAATATAGCGGGAACACGTTTGAATGTTGTCTAACAACTGGTATGTGGGTGAACTTTTTATACGATTGTAAAACGCCCATGAGTTTTTATGGTGGCCAGGTCCTTTGAGTATTCGAAAAATTTTATATATGCTTATCGGATTTTTATTCATATAAGAAATATATGAAGCTAATATGTAAAGAGAAATTATCGTTTATGTAATAGGAGGCAAACGGGCAGGAGGCTCATCTGATGTTAAGTGAAACCGCCGCCCATGGACACTCACATTGCCAGAGGGCTCGCAAGTGCGTTGCCTGCCTTTCAAGAATTGGTACGCTCTTTTCTTGAAGGACTCTAAGTCGAATTGGTTCGGAACTACTTCAGTGGGCAGCTGGTTCCACATCATCGTTATTTTGCCACAAAAGTCACTAAGATGGCCATAGCTTGGACTTAAACGCGAATACAATTAAAATTATACTAAATACTCTTTCTTTAGTATAAACAATAAAAATAAATCAGTGGCGCTACAACCTTTTTGGGTCTGGGCAATAGATTTATGTAATTCTGTTTCATGATCATTTGTCTAATAGGCAAGTAGGTGATCATAGATTTATTACTAACAAAACACACACAAAATAACAATAATAATAAATATATTTTTTTCTTGTAAAGAACAAGGTACGTTTTAAGTGTGTAATGCATGTGTGTTGTGCTTGTAATTGGCCCTGGCTCAGCATTATGCTGAGGAGTAGACTGTTCTACAGTAATCCGTCTCCTGTGCCTGATACTTTTTGGGTCTAAGGCAAGCCACTTTCCTGAAGATTGTTACAAAAGCATGCTGATTCTAGGGCGTATTGTTTACACATCACCTGGATCACATTCCCATATATACAAGACACAGTGCGAAATTTCTCACCTTAAATAAAGGAATCCTAAACTGGTCACTTTAGATTAAGATCTTATTTAGAAATATATTCTGAAAGCTGAAATCAAAGAGCACAATTGAGCTATTAACATGTATCGCCAGTCATAAAACCAATTGGCTAGTCAAAGCGAGTTGAGTAGCCACTTACCTTTGATCTGGTAAATCAGGATTTTTGGAACAACCTCCCCTTTTATCAGATGAGGGCTCTTGACTCGGATTTC